AAGGCCCCGAGGGCAGAACTGAAAAATGCAGTATTTGAAAGTGGCGCCCGAATTGCAGCATGGCGCCAGTTGTCCAAAATCCTACGGTACCAAAGGAGGGGTTTGGAAAAAGGGTGCCAGGCCGAAAACGGGATGCAGCTGAAACAGCAAAAGATAGACCAGGGATCGAGCCCTGGCGGAGTCCGTAATACCGCCCAACAGAAAGAACGCAGCGGAAGACTCAGGGAAGCGAAGTGGCCGGATACACAACTCAATGAATTCTCTCCTCACAAGTCCCAACAATCATTCATAGAAGACAACCGAGTGATCACAGCCAGAAATCAATGAAGAGATGACAACTCAAACACAGTATTACAATTGTTTATCAACCTCAGAGCATCGTTTTCACTGTATAACCTCAGAACCCTGTTGCGAACCCTCAGAGGGGTAGCGCCTCAACCCCACACACACCGAGCAGCTAAAATAGCACCAGAACCCCAGGTAACACCCAGCGCCACCCTGACATCCAACTCAGTGGCCTGCGCCAAAATGGAACAGGCTCCCAGAGCCAATCGCCACCCAGGTGATGAAGGAGAAGCTTAGCGCCAACAATCCCTGATGAAGATGAAGTCCAGACGATGATATCCTCTGAGAAGATGCAGCTATGGCTGCATCGCCGCTGGGACCCTACTCCTGAGGAGGGTCAGCAGTGCACCACGTGCTCCAACGCATCAGACGTCTCATAGCCCAGGCCGCGTTGACTCCCAGAGAGTCAGAGCGGACAGCGTTGACCCCAGTCTGGTCAGCGCTCCGAAGGTCTGGCTATGTCCGCCGTCTCCACCACCGGAATCAGCAACCACGACCTGATACAGTGTGCGCAGCAACTTCCAGCACGAAGTGTCAACTGCCAAAAGCTCAGGACCGATGTTCCCATCCTATCTATACCCTAAACTAGCCTAGACACGACCTAGACCGGACTGACTGACCGACCGGTACCGTTTCTGTTTCGGCCTCTAGGGCCTCTCCCTACCCGGATATAGGCTAGAGGACTGTCTATCAGCGTAGGCCCATTTGGCCTGTCTGCCCTAGGGGTAGCCCGGGTCTGCTATTCGCAGTTAGGGTAGCTGTAGGAAATTTGAGTTAGTACTGGGCCCATATCTCCTATATTTACAAATATGTCCCTCACGAATTTTCCTTACAAGTAGGTCTCTCTGTTAGCCCTCAGCCAAACAAAATTACGAATCTGTCCCTACCTATGGTACAGCCTCGTCTGAGAGAGGCTACAGGCAACCTGGAACCAGCAAGTCGTTGCAATTCGATTTCAGACCAATCTGGGCCCTCGTTTGCATTGAGATCTGGACGGTTGAGGGATGCAGCATCCGGGGTCCAGACCCCATGTCAACGCTACATAAGCGCTGACTTCCTGGCTTTGACATTCATTCTGTCTTGCGTCAATGCTGACTTCACGCGTTGACGACGCGACGCTGGCTCGACGCTGCGACGCTGGTGGACGCTGGCCTGGTGCTGGCATTTGGGAGATTGCGGCGATGCGCTGCTAGCTCGGCATGGTGGCTGGCTGGCTATTGTCTTCAAGGCATGCTGACGTGGCAGCTGCCACGCGTTGCTGCTGCCACGTGTTCTACGGCTGGGACAATGTGACCGGCACTGCTGTTCTGATTCATCGTCACTCAGGAGGAGATCAGGACTGTGGAGAGATCGTGGATACTTACCTGTTTGTCTTCATGTCGACATTGCTCCAGCGCTGATGAGAGACTGATTAGACGTGCCACGTGGCACATTGTAGTAGGACTTCGGATATGTGTTCAGACTATTGATTACTTGAGGTGGTGTTCGAGGAGGGAGCCCGAAGCAGGAGTGGGCCTTGTACTTTATTCCTCTCCTTTGTCTAATCTCCCTCCTCTCTCCTTCGTCTGTGTATGATTATCTCATTTCATTCTGTCTGGACACAATTTTGATTATTGGTAATCATCAGCAGTTTGATATTCTGGGCTTACATTGTCGACAAGTGTCTTCACAATCTGGGTTCATTGCAATATTGGAAGGTGAGTTGAGGGTGGCGATGGAGTAAGGTTGAGTTGAGGTGTGGGTGGTGATGGAGCAAGGGTGAGTTCTGGGGGTGGTAATGGAGGCCAGGGGGGACTGAGACATACATGTCTTTTGCAATATGGGCATTGCTCTTTTTGTATGTGAATAATGTGACCCTGCGATTGATTGAATTTTTGAAATTGTCTTCATTCTTATGCCCTTTAGTACTGGGAGAAGGCGGAGTTCCCATTTGAGTTGCTGCCAAAGCTTGCTGAACTGAAGGTTGCAGGGACCACTATTGAGGTGAGTTATCCTTATGATCATCTTAAATCATCAGCGTGACAGCGTAATAATTTCATTATTAATGATTACTCTTTTTTTTTCCCTTCTTGTTCAACTTATTGATGATTATTCTACTGCCAATTTGCCACTATTCCGTTGTTAAATTGTTAATGTCTTTCTAGTAGCGACATTTGACAATCAGTAGATTTCTGTTCACTGGGAACATGAGGCTGAGGATGCCATTTCAGCAAGCTGAAAGAGTCCAGTGTACTTGCCTGGTGGCTGAATGCTACATACCATGAACTGCTAGTACAAGGAAAATGAGAGATAGTGAGATGACAGAATCCAGATAGCACAATCACATTGAAAGCAAGAAAGTCCCACAGTGTCCAGAAGGCAGCATTGCACCAATATTACACCAATGGATCGAAACACTGAAACCCAATGTCAATGAGAGCTTACTCTCGTCCCACCAACATACGTATCCAGGCCCTCTCTCCCTACTTGGCGCTCAGCGCCCAGGCTACTCCCTACACGGCTCGCCCATACCAGGTATGAGCCATCACATCATCATCCTCATCTCTCGCTGTCTCTCCCTGTCCTTGTCTTCCTCCCACGTCTTCTCCCTCATGCACGAAGACCACCACCACCTCCACTGGCTGTCCAAGCCAAGCCCTGGCTATGTAGGGCTGGCTATGGCGCTGCCCTCAGCAGCGCCCTGCCTTCTTCCAACGCCCGTGCGCACTGCCTGGCAACTAGCGCTAGTGCCCAGCGCACAGCCCGCGAGCGCACGCTCAAGCAGCACTGTCGCATGCACTGCCTAGTTCCCCAATGTCTCCACCAGCACCAGTGGCGAGCTCTTTCTTTTATGGAAAGTGCTCGCCTAGTCTGCTCCCTGGCTGGGCCTCGTGTATTTCCAGTAGCTTCCAATTGGGCCAAAGTGTCTGTGCCCAGGCCCATTCAGACAGTGGCCTGGGACCGAATTGGTTGAGCCTGCCCAACCACCCAGGAGTAAACGTGAGGTTATCCCTGCTTCGCCTGTGCTGCTGGAAGGGCCTAGAAGGCTCAGGAATTATTTCTGATTCTCTCGAGTAGGGAGGATGTAACCAACTGGCGCATAGCAACTGTCTGGCGCCCACCAACCTTTGCAAAATTTGACGAACTCAGGCCACATTGAAATTCAGGGGGGCCTGTCTTCACTTAGGGCGGGCTCATGCTTGCTGATAGGGCCCTACAGGGCATGCCAAGGAGCCAACTCGTAAGAAGGCCTCGTCGAAGATCCATGCCCACTTGGGGTTTACAACAGGCTCTCCTTGGGCCCCTCAGCCTGGTCTCATAGCCCTATAAACAGGCATTGACACATATTTGCAGGCCCGCCTTCACTTAGGGTGGGCACGGCACTTTCAGACATTGCCGAGGAAATAAATCCTCGCATACCTTCCCCCTTAGCTTCGAAAGTCCCGTGAGAAAGCCTTTTGTTGTCTCCATCTGTTATTCAGCACAAAGTTGTCAGCTTGTTGAAAATCTCTGATGGAATTGAAGCCTTCTCCGTGGTTTGAACTTTGGAATATACAGCTTCACAGCTCCAGAACTTGTCGTTGATGTGTTCAGCTATGGTTGGGGGCAGCATGCACCTTCTTCAGGTAGGTACTCAGATTTGGGGACAGTTGTAAAACAGGGATGGTAAGATAGAGGATTGGGTTATTTATGATCTGGACATCACAGGAAAGAGGACGAATCGTTTGGCGACTCCATCTATGCAGGTCATTGTCCTGCCGTTTACAATCCACCCTGTGAAACGACCGCTAGGACACCCAAATAATCTGAATATAACATTATCAAAGATGTTACTTTTCGTTCCAAGTGCAGATTACGACACTCAGATTCATTCTCCTACATGAAGTGTGGACGGTGGACTGTTATGATCTCATATGCAAATCGGAAACCTCGTGTAGTCGCTTGTCAGCTCCCTCTACACTGACAGGCTCAGCTGTTAATCGGTTTTCTATTATGAAAGAGTCTGTCGTTGGTCTATGTTTCAGACTCAACTTTCGACCTGCTTGTCTTCGGGATGATTTCCTGAAGACCATTTGCAGTTGAGTATATATCTGTCCACTCATTCTCTTCCACCTTCGTTAGAGAGAGGATCATCTCTAGTACTAACGGTTTTCAGGGGGTCTAGCAATACGTTTACACGTGTCCATAAATGACTAGGTCCTCGCAATCTAAGGGATATCGACTAAGCGGTCATGCTTTCATAACAAGTCTTGTACGTAACCATCCGATTCTTGTCTCCTATCTATTTTCAGATGATTTGCAATGCAAAGACGAGACCAATCAAGAAAGGATTTTGACTATCATAACCGATATCCGAAATTGCTAGAGTAGGGTCGCTGAAAATCCCTCGTTCCTGACATATGTTGCCACATCATGTTATCTTTCTAAAAATAAGTTATTCTCAATTATTTATTATAGGATACTCCTATAAATTCATGTTATTAATTTTTATATTCTTTTATTCTTTGGATCCTTGGTCTCTACGTCCCCGTTTCTTTCTTTTATCAATTAATTTATTTTAAGATTTTTAGGAAGACGCATATGGCCTTATCCATACCTTCTTCCATAGCTTTGTCAGTCGCTGTCCAACATTATAGGCAGTATTCTATAGGTCTATCCCACAATAGGAGGAATTGTTCCTATCTCTTGAACAGCCTCTCTGGTTTCATCTCCTGACGGTAAGTAAGAAGGTTTAAATTCTCTGTAACACTTATTTTCTTACTCTATAGAGGTTAGGAGGGTCTGCCCCTCCAAGGATTAAAGACTTAGTCTATTCCCCACTGTGATTTCCTTTGTCCAACTAGGAACATTGCAACCTTGAAGTGGTACATAACACGAAGGTTATGAATTTTCGGCAGCTAAAATATTGTCTTTAGTTGTCTTCCCCCTATAGGAGGAATCACCGGCTACATCTGTTATGTAGTCCTGACACACTAATGCTTTTGTATTGGCAAAGCTAGATACTACAGATCGCCTTAGCCGCTGCGCACGGTCCCAATGTGCAGACTTATCATACAATTGTGACTAGTGTAGTCTTAGGTAGAACAATGTTTGCAAGCCCCACGGTCACCTACATTGTTGTCTACCAGTTCCTTGGAACCTTTCACTTGGTCACCCAGGCAGCTAGCAGGTCTCACCATCTAGCTTCTCTAAGGACTCAGACACACCTCATGAACAGAGCTTCATGTGGTCCAGATGTGCCTGCGGGGTGACTAAGGAGTCAGTAACCTTGGCCGTCTTTTGAGATGGTAAGGGATTCCACCCCCTCAACAAGAGTAGAAGCGGCTACTACTTCTATAGGCCGGATGTGCTTCCCAAGGAAGTGCTCGCCGTGCTTCCCTAGGTTGAAGGTGCCTTACTGGGTTGCATCCCCGTGATGACCAACCGGACTGGACCCCTCGCCTTGGTTTGCCCTACTCTTTGTTGGTGCCCCTTTCAAGCCGGTCTATCCGCACATCCCAGGCCCTTTCTCATCCTTATAGACGGAGTAGGACCTTTCCCTTGACTCCTAGACTGGTTGCCCTTCCGCATCCCAGTCGCCTCAGCCTAACTACAAACGGCCAGCACTCCTCCCTCTGGTTTCATGACCGTCTACTTGCTTTGTCTGAACCCCAAGATCGTCCTTTCGTCGATCCCAGGTGGCTTCTTCTTCCTCCTATCATCCAAGCCCTCACACACGTTACTTAGCTCGGCCTCGTAGTCCAAGTCTTTTTGAAGAAACTTCCTACTCCTAGTAGGTAAGTATCTAGTGTGAGTAGCGAAGCGAACAGGAATGTAGCACAATGACCCCTACAACACAACTAGTTTCCTCTGTCATGTCGGAGAACTTACGAGTTGCAAGAATTCTTGTCTCATCTCTTCCCCTGACAACAAAAACTGATCAAGAGACCTGGCCCTGACCCAAGAATCAAGATCACAGTTGTGTCCATCGCCTTGTGCCTACCCGCCCAACTACCTTGCTGCAGCTACATGTTCTCCCTTCTATAGATGCGTGTCTCTGGCTGTGGACCAACCACTTGTGCCTGAAACACGTTGCCTAACCTGCTGCCCAAGCCGCTGGCCCGGCTACCGCACTATAGTTGCAGCAGTTGATATGGGGACATATGAAGCAGATCCTGAGTCTGCCACCACTATCTAGTGATGAATTGTCTGCTGGAAATATGCCGTACTGAGGTACCAAGAGACCGCTCATAGGCAGCAATGACACGAACACACCGGCACCGCCGGGGGAAACTACAACGGGTTGCGCAGGCCTTACCGTAGGCTTGAGGCCTCTCTGCGCAGCCATAATTTAATTTTGACTGGCTATCAATGCGGCCAACATTCCCTAAGACACGGCCTGTACTTCGGCCACACTGACTGAGCCGAAGTGTCCGCTTATTAGGAGCTTCCACATCCAAAGCTTCTAACCTGTTTAGTTCCACCTCCCTCGCCTCTGGTCTAGGCTTTCTTCTTCTAGCTCTATCTCGTCTATCCTCTACCTCCTGTATCTGGCGTTGTAACTCTGTGTGAAGGGCATCCGTTTCTCTAATCTCAACGTCCTCCATTGACAAGGGTTGTTGTTGGCAGTCCCGCACACCAACAGACTGACTAGTGCAAGGCCCTGATATGTCCCGACTAACACCTATCGAAGAGACCTGGAAAGAGACATGGGACATTGCAGAAACGGCAGCCTTCGCTGCCTCGGCCTTGGCTCTAACGTGCGCTGCTACTACAACTGTTGGTGCCATCACTGCGTTGGCTGCTGCCACCTGTACCTTTTGCGAGACCCAACTCTCCTCAGCTGCTCTCCGCTGTCTCCTTTCCTCGCCTGGTCTTTGACACCAAGCAAGTGATCAGCCGACAAAGTGCCTGTCCACAAGCAATCCTCCCCTCATCCTAGTCTATGTCTCAACCTCATTGTCATCGTCACCCCAAAGTGCAATCAGACTCAACTCTGGACTTGCTCACAACATGCACACTTG